CACGTCCACGACCACGCATCCCGCGTGTTCCACCATGACTACCACGTCTTGAAGACGCATCACCGCGACGAGTTTCGTTGTACCGTCGGCGATCTCCCCCAGGGCTTAATGTACCTACATTAAATCTGTCAGATTGGTTTTTCATGGAAGAAAGATACTCATCGTGCTTCTCAGTTCTTTCGCTCTCTCTATTAGCATCTTGTTTTTGAGGAATAGATTCATTCTGCTGAATGTCTTTATTTTGTTCTTCTCCTTTGACACCAGGTTTACGTGGCTTATCAACGTTCGACTCTAGTTTTTCATTACTTACTGGCTTGATTTTATCACGCCGATCTGTTCGGTCACTTTGTTCTGTGCGATCACGACGATCTACACGTTCTCGTTGATCTGTGCGATCTCGACGATCTTGTCGCTCACTTTGTTCTGTGCGATACCGCCGATCTACACGCTCACGTTGTTCTGTGTGATCACGACGATCCGTATTCTCGCGACGATCATTTCCCTCCCGTTGTTCCGTGCGATCACGACGATCCGTATTCTCGCGACAATCATTTCCCTCCCGTTGCTCCGTGCGATCTCGACGATCCGTACGCTCACGTTAATCCGTACGATCCCGACGATCTGTTCGCTCACGTTGATCCGTTCGATTACGTTCATTTCTAATACGTTGATCAGATTTGTCTTGGTCTCGTTGGTCGCGCTGGTCTTTCCGATGGCGGGAATATGAATTATTACGCCGATCAGTATGATCCTGTGTCCTATCAGATTGCCGAGTCGCATCACGATTTTCTCTTTGCACACCCTTTCGTTCTTCTGCTCTAGAGTTTATTTCACTGTCCCAATTTTCAGATTTGTCGCGTTGGTCGCGCTCGTCTTTCCGATCGCGGGAATACGAATTATTACGCCGATCCACAAGATCACGTGGAGAAATGCATGACTGAGTCTCTCCCTTGACTTGTTTTTCACCCAGTGCATCACAAAAGCTCTGCAGGGCCTCTCGGTGCTTTTCTACAACTTTCTCCATAGGATGACACAAGTGTTCCGGTCTGACATGATCAAAATCCATGCAGTACCTATAGGATAAAGTATTTTACACTTAAATTACATAGCAGATCTTTAAAGGTTAGATACATTTGAACATAGTTAATATTAACGATGATTTGAAGTGTAGACCTTAAAAGTAACATGTTAAAATTTAATGTGATAGTGACAATCACTAGGCCTACAGGTAAAAAATATCCCGGTTTATCATCAGCGCCCATATCCATTTTTTTTACTTTCTATTAAATAAAATTATTGTTTTCAGCGGTCTTTCATTACAAAACTTATGACGAACCCACTTTTTCTTGAAATTGAATGGTGTATTTAAACCAACCAGTACTATAGCTAACTTACTTTGTCAACCACTTTTGCAACTGTTGCTATTTTACACTGTTCCGATTTCAAGTACAAGCATGTTTATGATAACTATTAGATAAGTGTTGTTCATGGAAAATGGCAGAAATTCTTGGCAATTTAGATGAAAAGTACATAATAGCTTTCGAAAATATTAATCCACATGATTGTGATTTGAACATTGCATCTACTAAATACGATTTGGTGAAATTTTTTTTTTTAATTGGCCTGGCCACAGAGATTTTTTTACTGATGATCAACCAGGATATTATTTTTCACATGGCCTTAAAAAAATGAATAATTTGACCTGACTCTTCCACAGTCCCTCATCCGTTATCCGTACGCGCGGTCGCGTTATTCTATCGCATTCCCATTAAGCACCGCGCTCCCATTGTTTTTCCACTGATCTCTATCCCCAACTGAAGCGATGAGGAACGAGGCAGTAATTTGACCTTTCTCGAGGGTGAGGGGCACAAATTTTTCAGGGTAAGTGCCCAAATTCTCAGGGGAAGAGCAAACGTGATCGCAATGTTGTCGGCCTCATGTGAAACTTGGTTAGGCCAGCCTGACAAGGTGCGCATGCCGGAAATCTTGGAACAATGTATGCTTGACTGCACTCTTCAGGAAGCAGTTGTCAACTGCAAAAATATCAGTTTGCAAAATAAACAAAAAGTTTGTTTTTTCAAGCGCATGAAGCAGGAATATCTTGCAAGAGTTTGCCAGGCTAGCCCAGGATTATGACAAAGACAAACTAGCCCGGCAAGGTGAGATAGCCCAGTTTGTCTGGTCAGTGTGGCTTACTGTATTGTACATGAACAGCCTTTTATTGTTTGTAAAGATGTTGTAAAGTCCATTCTGTGCATTAGTTCTGCTCATACCAAAGGGGGACCCACAGTCCATGCAGTCCAGATATAAACACAATCTTGATCCCACAGCCTGATTTCCTGTTCGCAGGCTAGGAAATACTAGTATTTCCTAGTATTTCCCAGTGAACTACATACATATAGTTCAGTGGTATTATGGTTCAGTATTATATAGTTCAGTGGTATTCCTAGTATTTCTTATGCACCTATCACTGTTTTCCCCGAGGGGGGGGGGGGCGTTGTGCGAGAAACACAGGGGACTTTGACCACACTATGAAGCCCCAGTGAGGGGAATTTGACGTATGCATCAACTCCCAGAGTCAGGAAATTTTCACATTCGCCATCTTGAAAGTTTCCGCGGTTTTGACATTAAAAGGCCTGGTAACAAGTATGGC